GTTGCGATATTTTAAATTGTGTTTACGGCCATTGGAAATTGCCATTAGTTGGAAAGAAACCTTGAAATGATAGTTTGCCAGGTTAGACAAACTCTAAAGATTCAAGACTGTAACAAAATGGATAAGGGATGGTTAATATCACAGATTGCAAATGGCAAACTTGAAAAATTTTGTCTAAATTTTTCAAGATGCGCAGCCTTTGACGAAGCTCAGTTTAACGTAATTTCTGTCCTTATCTCTCAATTCAAAAATTCGCCTCAAAGAAAATAGATAAGTAGAGACGCCTATTTAGTTATACATCAGTAAAAAAAGCTATGTATCTGCCTCACAACGCGAGCCGGCTCTAAAAGCATCCAATTTGCAGATCCCATGATGGTATCGCCCCGCCCCGAGTAAAGTTGACCCAGCTTACCTGCCAGTAATAGGATAATCATAGCCAAACAAACTCCAAAGGCTATTTTCCATTTGAAAGCAACATCGTGGGGACTTTGGAGATTCAGTGCCCCAGGCTCGTTAGCTGTGATTTCGTCTTTTAAGGTCGTCAAAGAAACTGTTGGAGAAGGTTCTGGTAACTTTGTTGAGACATCTGACAACTGGGAAGTCTTGGCTTTAGATGTGGAAGTTTCTGGTGTTAAATCTGTTTAACAAGAAAAATTGTATTTATTAACACTTATTCTAGCAACTAATCTCCAGAAGACTTTTTCCCCTGGAATAATATAACACTCCCATAGATATGGAGATAGGATACGTTTTACAGGCTCTCGATTAGTGCCGGCGAACGAAAAAAGCGGTGAGCAAAAAACGCGACTGTTGTCATGGCGAGAGAGCATTCCTCTCCCCTCCTTTAAATTTGTCCTCGCACGCACGCTCTACAGTACCACCAACTGAGAGCCTGAATCAGGTTAGATTTACTTGTAATCTTTGTCTAACTACTATCTTTTCCCGTTTTGAACCGCTTTTAAAGTGCCTATTTCGAAGAAGTAACAACACGAACTGGTACTATGTCGTGTCTCATACTACCAGCTGGAATTGCATTTACACTTGTTGCTCAACATCTAATTGTACATTAACATCATCCACATCTACAATTAGATGTTGATCAATTTTAGGACTGAAAATGCATCGCCCAGAATGCTATTGTCTTTTGCGACATGTGCTTGCAGTGCCCAGTTTATCAACGAGAGGCATAATAATTTGCGTATGTAGAGCTACTCGGCTGTGCTTGGTCAGCAGGTCTAGTTATGGGAATACTTGAGTCTCTTTGCACATTTCAGCTGCTGTCAATCAAACGGTTGGATGCGTTAAGTAAATCCCAAGGTGCAATGAAGTTAATAATAGCGCCGGCAGCACTCTTTAAGGTGGTTTACTACAGTTTTTCTGAGACTCAATAGCGCGCTCTACCATTGCCTGCCAAACGTCAGTATTAATCGCGCGTTCAAAAATGACGCAAGTAACACTAAAAAGAAGCGAATTTACTTCAGCACTTGAAAGGCGTTAAATCACTTCGGTATAAGTAGTAAAAGATTCAAACTCCATTCAAACATGCGTTTAAGCCTAGGGCCGAAAAAATATGACAAAAAAAGCTCTATAAATAACCGCTAAAAGAGCTCTAATTTACTCTTGCTTTTTCGCACGCGATACATGGCGTCCCATGAGCGCGCACCTAAATGAATAACCACGCGTGACACCACCCGTGTTTTTCTGATTTTTGTGACGTCAGCTGGACCAAATAAATGCTAATTTTCTCGCTTTCCCTTCAGTTAATTTTTTTTAAAATTTTGCTCAGTTCTAACCGCATACAATTCCTATAAAATACCCTATTTTTGTTAAAATCTGTCAGAGCCAATCTAATATATTTAGAATAATGACAACTTACAGAATATTGGAAAAACCGTCTGAACAACCTTGACTTTTTTATTAATTCAAAATGTCAGGCAATATCATTTCCATGATGTGGCGAAGTATGAAAAAATTTCACTGAAGGAAAGCATAAATATTAAGGAGTTTATGTCAAAATGAGGAATATATCTGCCTGTCATTAGATGAGATGTTGCCATGGTAACGGCCTTAATCCAAAATTGACAACCAAAACATAAGCCTTATTTTAACAGTACCCATACTGGTAAATCTCTACGGGAAAAACTTTAAGAGAAATTAACTAAGTTTCTTTATCTAACTCGTGCTCTGTAGGGAGGGTGTTCGTAATTACTCTAGGGAGCCACTTTAAACAGAATTTTATCAAGAAATTCGCGTGGAGCGAAATTTTTGTTTGACTCGATGGAATTCTAGTCAAAATGTTGTCTTTTCAAACCATCAGAACGCATGGTTTTACAAGGGGGGCTTTAATAAATCGACCATCGATCAGTGGAAATTTTCCGCGTGATTTTTCGTTTCTGTTTTCGTTGATTTTCGTGCGAATCGACCTGATCGTAGGTTGGTAGCAAGAGCGACGTGCGAGTCAGTTGTTTGAGGTTTCTATGAACCGGTTGCTGAAAACTTCAGTGTTTGCAAATTCGCGAGGGCAGTTATATTCACGCTTCGCCACTGACGCAGCGCAGCATTTTCAGTAGAAACTAAACACTTTTTTTGGTTATTGCGACCATGTACCCGCTGTTTGCCGCTTTCAGTTCATTTTCCCTATTGTCTGACCGGCTGCCATCCTGAGTGACTTTGAATTTTCTTGGGGAACATAGCGAAAGTGCCGGATGTGTCACGGCATTCTGGGCGATAGGTTGAATTCGTTTTCATCCTGAGCCATTGCCCTGTGAAACACTGCATATCTGAGTATAGCAACTTACCTTTACATGAGGTCAAATCCTCCAATCCCGTTCTACGAGAATTAAAACCCGCAGGGCAAGGCAGGCAAGAAGTTTCTCCTTCACCAGGCTGATATGTTCCCATGGGACACGGAAAGCAGGCAGGTGACGTCCCGTTTGTAGCCCCGCTAGTTTCCGGTGGACGATTGACTGAATGGAATACATGTACAAATAACAAAAAAATAATTTACTCAATGCCAAAATATTAATTTGGGATTTTTATATAACCAAGGAAAGTTTTATAAAATTGGTATGGTCCAGAGCTTAGGATTCTACGTTCTTCAGAAACGCTGATTTAACTTGACAAAAAAACGTCACTCACCGCAAACAAAGTTGTTTTCAAACAGTGCTGTACCAATAGGGCATAAAGAAATGTATTTTCCAACACTCCACGAAGTCGGATCTTGTTTTAAGCTGACGCTCCTGGTGTTTAAACTGATTCCACTTACAATTGACTCATTTACCAGTATGGTCACAGCTCTTTCTAGCTGCTGCACGGAATCCATAACACTAACGGCATTTTCTGATGCGGTTCTGTTCATAGGGTTGGGTCCCGTCGTATTAAAGCCACGCAGTCTGAGTGACACCTTGCAAGAGATATTGCTGCTCTTGTCGATCATTTGGCAGTCTTCCACTGAAAGATCCTGCACAGCATCGGAAGAAAGGTTGACCAGGTTGCTTA